TATGGAGATTACTCTCTTTTTTTTTTTTTTGAGACAGAGTTCTCACTCTTGTTGCAGGCTAGAGTGAGTGCCGTGGATCAGCTGTTCAGCAACTCAAATCCTGGGCTAAGATCCTCCTGCTCAGCCTCCGAGTAGCTGGGAACTACAGGCTTGCGACCATGGCCGGCTATTGTTTCTAGTATATTTTTAGTTGGCAATTTATCTTCTATTTATAGTAGAGACGGGGTCTCACTCTTGCTCAGGCTGGTCTCAAACACTGACCTCAAGTGATCCTCATGCCTCGCCTAGCACTCCCAGAGTGCTAGGATTACAGGCATGAGCCACCACGCCCGGCCAAAATATCTTAAATTTATAGATTAATTTGGATAGAGTGAACCTTTTTTTTTACAATATGAATCTTCCTACACATTTCTTATTAAGTTTATTCCTGAGTATTGTTTTAGTTTTTCTCGAGGGGGGATGTGGAGGTATTATATAAATATGATTGAGATTTTTTTATCATTATCATTATATTTTCTAGATGATTATTGTCAGTGTATACGCGATTAATTTTTCTTGCGATGGGGTCTTGCTTGGTTGCCCAGGCTGGTCTAAAACTCCTGGCCTCTCAAGTGATCCTCCCACCTCAGCCTCCTGAGTAGCTAGGCTTATAGGCGTGAGCCACTGGCACTTAGCTGATTAATTTTGATATATTTAATTGCTAACATTATTAAACTCTCTAATACCTCTCTATATTAACTCAACCTTAATAAAATATGTAATTAGAGTGGATGTTTTAGGAAGACAAACATACCATTCAACACATATGAACTTTCTATAGAATGTGAAATTAATATGAACTTATTTATTTTTTTACAGGCATTGATCTAGAATAATGTGAATTTAAATCTGCATATTTTACAGTTCCTCTGAGAAGGGAGCTGGGAAGTCAGGTCAGATTATTTTACTTTGTACTATACCTTTTTGTACCTTGTATCTTTTTATTACTATGAGCATATTTATTACTTTTATAATAAAAAATAAGTTTTAGAAAAGTGCTCTCTGACTTGGCCATACTGCTTTCAGGAATATATCATAAGGAAATAAATGGAGAGTTACTCAAAGGTATAAGAATATTCATAAAAGCAAAAAAAGTGGATACAAGTTAAAAGACTAATAAAACAGGGATTGGTAAAATAAATGATGGTTCATGTATTCAATGGAATACTATATGGCTATTAAATTTAAATTTTCTGACAAAGATAGTCAATAATATATTGAATAATAAAATGAGTACTTTTTTGTTTTTAAAAGCACACTCAGACAAACACAGGTGTATATACCTGCAGAGGAAAGTTTGGAAGACCAAATTGTTATCTTGGGAGTAATAATTCTTGTAGTACTCTTATAATCTTTTGCTGTACTTTATGAATTTTCTACAATGAACATACATTAATTATTTACTGAAATAAAGAGGGTGACAACCCACGTAATAGGTTAAATCCATAAATCCTAGGAATTAGAGGATTCAGCTCACTACCCATGTATTTTCCTTAAACAAGTTCAAACTCCACTTTGGTTAAGCCAATGCTATAAGAATCCTGGGACATGTCTAGTTGTAGCAAGCTGTTTCACAAGGGTGGTACAACACCTGATGTTTATGAAGAAATACAAGTTTACAAGCAAAAAAGGCATTGCAACTGAATTAAATTTATGTTAAATTTTGTTCTCTGTATCATTTAAAATTCCAGGATATTTACAAAAGGAAAGCATTTACCTTCTATCCCAAGCTAACTGGACTGTAAGATAAATGCTTTTCTGTAACAGAGTCCAAGGAGGTTAAGTAGGTGTTACACTCACAAAATTTATCATTAACTTACATAAATGATCTACTGAAAGCTCAAGCAGTGGTAAAAGTTCATCTGGTATAACCAGCAAATTCCAGTGAAGTGAAAAGTTATATATATATTTTTTCCCTATTTTTAACTGAAAAACAGATTTCTGTGACTTTTCATATGACATAATGGTTAATAAAGCCATACATTTCTTTAACAGAACCGTACTTTATACACTACCAAGTTGATAATATAGATTTGGGGGGGGGGATAATTAGTTGCCTTTATTTCTACTTGTGAGAGCTGGCACACCAAACTAAATACTAACACTGACCATATGTCCATCAATTTGGTAAGAGCTGGTAAGAGCTAGTGAGAGAGAGAGAGAAAGAGAGAGAGAGAGAGAAAGAGAGAGAGAAAACACCATTCTATCACCTCCAAAATTCCCTCATGCTACCCCTTTGCTTTATAACTAACACTTCACTACACTCTCAAACTCTGGTATCCACTTGTCTTCCTCCCTATAGTTTTGCTTTTTCAGATTGTCATATAAATGGAATCATATACTATGTAGCTTTTTGAATCTCGCTACTTTCACTTAACATAGTGCTTTTTAAGATTCACTTACATTATTGCATGAATCAACAGGTAGTTCCTTTTTTTATTAAGGAGTAGTATTCCATGGTATGGATACACAACAATTTCTTTATTTCACCAGCTGAAAGAACTGGGCTGTTTCCAATTTTTGGTGACTAATGCTGAGTAATGCTACTATAAACATTCATGTACAGGTTTTTGTGTAAACAGAAGTTTTCATTTCTCTTGGACAGATATCTATAAGTAGGAGTGCTGACTCATATGACAGAGATAGGTTTAAGTTCACAAGAAACTACTGGCAAACTGTTTTCCAAAGTGGCTGTATTCGTTTTGCATTCCCACCAGCAATGCATGTGAGTTCCAGTCGCTCTGCATACTTGCTAACACTTGGTATTGCCAGTTTTTTTTAGACATTCTAATAATAGGTGTGTAATGATATCACATTAAGGCTTTTAAAAAACTTCATTTTTAGACCATTTTTAGGATCACAGAAAATTGAGTAAAAAATATAGAGATTTCCCATACACACCTGCCCCCAGAAACACACAACCTTGCCCATCTGGCACGAGAGTGGTACATTTGTTACAATCATCATTGTGGTTTTAATTTTCATCTGCCTCATTTGTGTTTCCTTTACTTGCTGTTTATATATCTTTTAGGTGAAGTATCTATTCAGATCTTTTGCCCATTATATTTGGTTGTTTTCTCCTTGTTATAGTCTTAGAGTTTGAAAATTTTATTATGAACTCAAGTCTTTGTCAAAAATGCAATTTGCAGCCAGGCACAGTGACCCATCCCCACAGTCCCAGATACTTTGGAGGCTGAGGTAGGAAGATCACTAGAGTTCGGAGTTCAGAGAGCTAGGAGTTCTGAGCCCAGCCTGGGCAACGTGGTGAGACGCTATCTCTTAAAAAAAAAATGTGATTTGCAAATATTTTCTCCTTGTCTGTGGCTTGTCTTTTCATTTCCTTTCACAGAGCAAAAGCTTGCATTTTAATAAAGCCCGAAGTATCACATTTTTTGACACTTTGCAGCCAAAGCTTCACTTTGGATCTATGGACAATGAATGAGGGGTCCAATTCTAAGATGAAAGATGGCTAGCCAAAAGGCATCATGCCCAGCACTTTGTAGAGAGGTTGTCTCATTTTCTCATTTAGTCCTCATACTCCCCCTATGAGGAAGATATTATATTATACATCTTTCACAATAGGGGAACTAAGGCTTAGGGCAAAGCTGACTGTTCAAAGTCATGCTTGAATCAGTAAATCAAAGAGTGAAAATCAGAAGAAGCCACCAGGCAATCTAACCTCAGAACTTTCACTCTGGACCACTCCTCTATACTGTCTCCAAATCTATACAGAAAAATTCTCTTCACTCAGCTTTTATTTTGAGAAATATAAAAGTTTTAGAAAACGACAAATTATTTAACAAACATTCCTTGAGGATTGTTAAAATGCAATTTCACCAAACTAGTTTTCCACAGTACCCTGAACTAAGATAAGCTACATGCTATCATTCACTTTGCAGTACATTGCAAATCAAAGGCTCTGGTGTCAAATCCTAGATCTGGCTTTGTGCTGAATAGTCTTACGCATCTTAGCTCATGTGAATACAATTCCTAATTTTGGGTAATAAAATCATACAGCACTAGCACATTTTGAGTAAATAAGGTTATGTCCTATCTTGAAGCCTCCAAAATATAGGAAGCTTCACTGATACTCTTTTTTTTTTTTTTTTTAGACAGAGTCTCACTTTGCTGCTAGAGTGAGTGCCATGGCATCAGCCTAGCTCACAGAACTCAAACTCCTGGGCTCCAGCGATCCTGCTGCCTCGAGCTCGCGAGTAGCTGGGACTACAGGCATGCACTACCATGCCCGGCTAATTTTTTCTATATATATTAGTTGGCCAACTAATTTCTTTCTATTTATAGTAGAGACGGGGTCTCGCTCTTGCTCAGGCTGGTTTCGAACTCCTGACCTCGAGCAATCCGCCCACCTCAGCCTCCCAGAGTGCTAGGATTATAGGCATGAGCCACCGCGCCCGGCCTTCACAGATATTAAGGCCCAGCAATGCTTTGAATATTTTAAATCTCTATAAAAGTTAGCTATTTTATTTATAAAAAAGAGTTATCAGCTGGGTATGAGGGCTCATGCCTGTAATCCCAACACTTTGGGAGGCTGAGGCGAGAAGATAGGTTAAGCCTAGGAGTTTGAGACCAGCCGGGGCAACATAGAAAGACCCTGTCTCGACAAAGAATAATAATAAAAAAAAATAGTTAGGCATAGTGACATGAAGATAGCTTGAGCCCAGGAGTTCAAAACCAGCCTGAGCAACATGCAAGACCCTGCCTCCACAAAAATTAAAAATAAAAATTAGCTAGGCATAGTGACACATACCTGTAGTCCCAGCTACTGGGAAGGCTAAGGCAGGAAGATCACTTGAGCCCAAGAATTTGAGGTTGCAGTGAGCTATGATGACAGTACCACTGCACTGTAGCCTGGGCAACAGAAGAGACCTTGTCGGGAAAGGGAAAGAAGAAGGAAAGAAGGAAAGGGAGAGGGAGGAAAGAAAAGAAAGAAAAGGAGTTACCTCTGAGACTTCCTGAATTTAAAGCTCTGTGACTGTCACGTGGTCTCTTTAAGCTTCAGTTTTCCATGGCTGAAAAATAAGAACAGTTACAGCATTGCTGTGAGCATGAAATGAGACAATCTATGCAAATTGCTTAGCACAATCCCTCACACGTAATAAGCCATCAGTGCACCTGACCAATTCCTGTTTTATTTATTTATGTATTTTTTTTTTTTTTTAGACAGAGTCTTGCTTTGTTGCCCAGGCTAGAGTGAGTGTTGTGGCGTCATCCTAGCTCACAGTGACCTCAAACTCCTGGGCTTAAGCAATCCTTCTCCCTCAGCCTCCTGAGAGTAGCTGGGTCTACAGGCATGCGCCACCATGCCCGCTAATTTTTTCTATATATATTAGTTGGCCAATTAATTTCTTTCTATTTATAGTAGAGACGGGTCTCGCTCTTGCTCAGGCTGGTTTCGAACTCCTGACCTTGAGCAATCCGCCCACCTCGGCCTCCCAGAGTGCTAGGATTACAGGCGTGAGCCACCATGCGTGGCCTATTTATGTATTTTTTATTTCAGCATATTATGGGGGTACAAATGTTTAGGTTATGTGTGTTGCCTTTCCCCTCCCTCCCCTGCAGTCAGAGCTTCAAGCATATCCGTGCCCCAGATGGTGCGCATTGTACTTATTATGTATGTATATTCCCATCCCTTCCTCTCCCCTCCCATCTGCACGACACCCGATAATTGTTATTGCTATATGTCCACTTAGGTGTTGATCAGTGAAACCAATTTGCTGGTGACTACATGTGGTGCTTGTTTTTCCATTCTTGGGATACTTCACTTAGTAGAATGGGTTCCAGCTCTATCCAGGAAAATACAAGAGGTGCTTTATCACCATTGTTTCTTAAAGCTGAATAGTACTCCATGGTCTACACAGACCACATTTTATTAATCCACTCATGTATTGATGGGCACTTGGGTTGTTTCCACACCCTTGCAATTGTGAATTGTGCTGCTATAAACATTCTAATGCAGATGTCTTTTTTATAGAATGTCTTTTGTTCTTTTGGGTAGATAACCAGTAATGGGATTGCTGGATCAAATGGTAGATCTATTTGTATCTCTTTGAGGAATCTCCATATTGCTTTCCCCTGGGGTAGCACTAGTTTGCAGTCCCACCAGCAGTGTAGGAGTGTTCCTATCTCTTCACATCCACGCCAACATTTATTGTTCTGGGACTTTTTGATAAAGGCCATTCTCACTGGAGATAAGTGATATCTCATTGTGGTTTTGATTTACATTTCCCTGATGATTAGAGATGTTGAGCATTTTTCCATATGTTTGTTAGCCATTATCCTGTCTTCTTTTGTAAATTTCTGTTCTTGTCCTTTGCCCACTTTTTGATAGGGTTGTTTGATTTTTTTCTCAATCAGGAATGAAAAAGGAGAAATTACAACTGATACCACAGAAATACAAAATATCATCTATGAATACTATAAATATGTCCATACACATAAACTTAAATGGGTGGAGGAAATGGACAAATTCTTAGAAACAAACAGCCTTTCTAGGCTCAATCAGGAAAAAATAGAAATCCTGAACAGACCAATATTAAGCACCAAAATTCAAGCAACAAAAAACCTTCCTATAAAAAAAGAGTCCTGGACCAGATGGTTTCACACATGAATTTTTACCATCCCTACAAAGAACTGGTGCCTGTCCTTCAGAAATTATTCCACAACATCAAGGAGGAAGGAATCCTCCCCAACACGTTTTACGAAGCCAACATCACCCTGGTACCAAGACCAGGAAAGGACTCAACAACAACAAAAAAGATTGCAGACCAATATCCCTTATGAATATAGATGAAAAAATTCTCAATAAAATCCCAGCAAACCGTATCCAGGTGCTTATAAAAAAAATAATCCATCACGACCAAGTGGGCTTAATCCCAGAAATGCAGGGATGGTTCAACATACGTAAATCTACAAATGTAACTCACCACATAAATAGAAGCAAAAAAAAAAAAAAAGACCCTATGATCCGGCCAGGTGCAGTGGCTCACATCTGTAATCCTAGCACTCTGGGAGGCCGAGGCAGGCAGATCGCTCTAGGTCAGGAGTTCGAAACCAGCCTGAGCAAGAATGAAACCCCATCTCTACTAAAAATAGAAAGAAATTAATTGACCAACTAAAAATATATAGAAAAAATTAGCCAGGCATGGTGGCTCATGCCTATAGTCTCAGCTACTCAGGAGATTGATGCAGAAGGATTGCTAAAGCCCAGGAGTTTGAGGTTGCTGTGAACTAGGCTGATGCCACGGCACAGTAGCCCAGCAACTAAGTGAGACTCTGTCTCAAAAAAAAAAAAAAAAAAGACCCTATGATCCTCTCAATAGACGCAGAAAAAGCATTTGACAAAATTCAACACCCTTTATAATAAGAATGCTTAACAAAATAGGCATAGACGGGGCTTACCTAAAAATGATGCAAGTCATATATAACAAACCCACAGCTAACATCATACTGGATGGGGAAAAATTGAAAGCATTCCCACTTAGAACTGGAACCAGACAAGGTTGCACACTATCTCCACTTCTATTCAGCATAGTGCTGGAAGTACTTGCTAGAGCAATTGGACAAGAGAGGGGAATTAAGGGCATCCAAATAGGGACAGAAGAGATCAAACTCTCACTCTTTGCTGATGATATATTATATCTCAAAAACCCCAAGGATTCAACCAAGAGACTCCTTGAATTGATAAATGAATTTAGTAAAGTCTCAGGATACAAAATCAATACACACAAATCAGAAGCATTCATATATGCCAACAGTCAAACTGAGAACCAAATCAAGGACTCAATACCCTTCCCAATAGCAACAAAGAAAATAAAGTACCTAGGAATATATTTAACTAAGGAGGTAAAATACCTCTACAGGGAGAACTGTGAAACACTGAGGAAGGAAATAGCACAGAACATAAACAAGTGGAAAACCATACCATGCTCGTGGGTTGGCAGAATCAACATTGTTAAAATCTCTATACTACCCAAAGTGATCTACAGATTCCATGCAATCCTCATTAAAATACCAACATCATTTTCCACAGATATAGAAGAAATAATTTTATGCTACATATGGAAAGAGAGAAAACCCCACATAGCAAAAGCAATCCTAGGCAATAAGAAAAAATGGGAGGCATCAATTTACCAGACTCAAACTATACTACAAGGCTATAGTAACTAAAACAGCCTGGTATTGGCACAGGAACAGGGACATTGACTGGTGGAACAGAACTGAGAAGCCAGATATAAAACCATCCTCATATCTAATCTTTGACAAAGCAGACAAAAACATACACCAGGGAAAAGAATCCTTATTCAATAAATGGTGCTGGGAAAACTGGATAGCCACATGTAGAAGACTGAAACAGGATCCACACCCCTTCACCTCTCACAAAAATCAATTCATGCTGGGTAACAAATTTAAACCTAAAGTGTGAAACTATTAGAATTCTAGAGGAAAATGTTGGAAATACTCTTCTAGGCATTGGTCTAGGCAAAGAATTTATGAAAAAGACCCCAAAGGCAATCACAGCAACAACAAAAATACATAAATGGGAACTGATCAAACCAAAAAGCTTCTGCATAGCCAAAGAAACTGTCACGAGAGCAAACAGACAACATACAGAATGTGAGAAGATTTTCGCAAGCTGTACATCCCATAAAGGGCTGATAACTAGAATCTATTTAGAACTCAGGACAATCAGCAAAAAAAAAAAAAAATCAAACAACCCCATTAAAAAGTGGGCAAAGGCCATGAACATAATCTTTTCAAAAGAAGATAGACTAATGGCCAACAAACATATGAAAAAATGTTCAACATCTCTAATCATCAGGGAAATGCAAATCAAAACCACAATGTCCTATCACTTAACCCCAGTGAGAATGGCTTTTATCAAAAAGTCCCAAAACAAGAAATGTTGGTGTGGATGTGGAGAGATAGGAACACTCTTACACTGCCAGTGAGACTGCAAGCTAGTACAACCTCTATGGAAATTAATATGGAGATATCTCAAAGAACTCAAAGTTGAACTACCATTTGATCCAACAATTCCACTAACGAGTATTTACTAAAAGGAAACAAGACATTCTGTAAAAAAGACATCTGCACTCGGATGTTCACAGATGTACAATTCACAATTGCAAAGATGTGAAAACAACCCAAGTGTCCCATCAATACACGAGTGGATTAATAAAATGTGGTCTATGTATACCATGTAGTACTTCTCAGCCATAAAAAAAATGATGAACTAATACCCCTTGTGCTATCCTGGATAGAGCTAGAGCCCATTTTTCTAAGTGAAGTATCACAAGAATGGAAAAACAAGCACTGCATGTACTCACTATTAAATTGGTACTAATTGATCAATAAATGGAAGTGACATTCACAGGGCATTGGGCAGGTGGGAGGGGGAGGTGAGAATGGGTAAATCTGCACCTAATGGGTACAGTGTGTGATGTCTGTGGGTTTGGGCCTGCTTGTAGCTCTGACTTGGGTGGTGCAAAGGCAATACATGTAACCAAAGGATTTGTACTCCGTAATATTCTGAAATAGAAAAAAGAAATACCCATTGAAAGCCTAGCACATTTCTCTGAACAGGTACAATGAGCCCTCAATAAATAATTACTGAATGAATACCTTCAATTTAAAAACAGGTTCCTTGTTTCTCAATTTGGCAGATGAAACATATTTTCTCATAGAAAAAGTGCTACACATGAAGGCTAGGTTCATAGGTCAGTCTTCAGAAGTTTATTTTATTTATTTATTTTTGTATAGACAAGAGTCTCACTATATTGCTCAGGCTGTTCTTGAACTTCTGGCCTCAAGCAAAAAGTTTATTTAGACAATTACGAAGCTGGACTATATATTAATAACACTATAACATTGTTTCTTATAGAAAAATGCATAGTGAATACCAATTAGGAAATCAAAATGCCAAGGAACATGTATCTTCTGACATTCCCCACTCTGGAAAATACTTCTCTGCCCTACGGAGGCAGTGGTAGTGGGTAAGAATACTTCTCTA